TTTGAGGCTGTGGTGGCCATGAGCGTGCCACTTCACTCCAGCTTAGGTGACAGAGTGGGACTTCAACTCAAAAAAAAAAATTTGGAGTTGGATGTGCTGGTCTAGGTTGAGCTTTTTTGGTTTGTTTTTTGTTTTTGTTTTTTAGTTGGAGTTTGTTTTTTAGTTGAAACCAAATCCTCCTGGTGCATGCCTATAGTTACTTGGAAGGCTATGGTGAAAGGATTACCTGAGCCCAGTAGGTCAAGGTTGTGGTGGCCATGAGCGTGTCACTGCACTCCAGCTGGGCAACAGAGGATCTGTTCTCACTGCATCTCCATTGGGACCACTGGCTTTGGAAGCATGGGCTGTGCATCTGCACATGGGCGGGAAGAAGGCCGACGGCCTGTGGCATTCCCCCAGTTCCTCTGTCCCAGGCTGTGGCCAGACATCACGCCTTCTGGCAGAGGACCTTCGTTGTGATCATGAGGGTGGATACCCTCTTGGTGTGGCCCAGGGAGCAGGGTAGGCTGCAGAGGCCCTTCCCTCTGAGACCAGCTTCCCCAGAGAGGCTGGCTGTGTGTCTGACCACCAGGGTGTAGGACCTGCAAAATGTGTGCATTAGACATTTTGCAGGAGAACCCCTTGCTGTTGGTGAACCTCATTCTTCTCTAGTCTATTCTGTTTTTTCTTTGCTTTTTTTTTTTTTTTTTTTTTGGGGGGGGGGGTCTCACTATGTTGCCTGGGGTGAAGTGCAGTGGCATGATCCTTCTACCTCAGCCTCCTGAGTAGCTGGGACTACAGGTTTGTGCCACCACATCCAGCTAATGTTTTGATTTTTTTGTAGACCCCAGATCTAGCTATGTTGCCCAGGCTGGGTCGAACCCCTGGGCTCAAGCAATTCTCTTGCCTCTGCCTCCCAAAGTGTTGGGATGACAGACGTGAGCCAGCGCACCTGGCTTCTTTTTGTTGTTAAAGTGGTGCTTGCCGCTCTCTTTGGTTTTCCAAAACAGAGGTGGTGATTGGCGGTGAAGAGCCTGATTAAAATCCAGCAGTTCCATCTGGATGTGGTGACTCATGCCTGTCATCCCAGCACTTTGGGAGGCCGAGGCGAGAGGATTGCCTGAGCCTGGGGGTTCAAGATCAGCCTGGACAACTTGGTGAGACCTCATCTCTACAATAAATCACAAAAACTAGCTGGGCGTGGTGACATGCGTCTGTAGTTCTAGCTACTTGAAAGACTAAAGCAGAAGGATCGCCTAAGCCCATCAGGTCGAGACTGTGGTGGCCACTGCACTCCAGCCTGGGCAACAAGAGTGAGACTCCAACTCAAAAAAAAAAAAAAATTAACCAAGCATGGTGGCATGTGCCTGTAGTTCCAGCTTCTTGGAAGGCTGAGATAGAAGGATTGCCTGAGCCCAGCAGGTTGAGGCTGCGGTGGCCGTGAGCGCGCCATTGCACTCCAACCTGGGTGACATTGAGACTCTAACTCACACACAAAAAAATCCATCAGTTCTCATGGCCTTCCAGAGGGCCATGTCCACAGGGCGGACGTGTGGGGATATCCCTCCCCAGACATAAGCCATATCTGCAGCATCGCCTGGGAGCCCAGCCCAGTCCTCTCCCTTTTCTGGCAGGAGAGGCGGGAGATTTTCGAGCAGCACCTGAAGAGCCTGAAGCTGACCCAGGCCAGCACTTTCTACTCCCAGCGTCTGGCGGAGCTGACACCTGGCTTCAGTGGTATGTATACTGTGCCACCTGGGCCCTCCTTTGGGGGTGCTGCCCCTTCTCTGGCGTCTTGGTTAGTATGAGCCTGGGTGGGCAGTGAGAGAGCTGAAGGGTGTGGGCCCTGCTTCCTCCCAGTGCTGGAGAACAGGTGCCCTTGCCCGTGTAGACTCCAGGTAGCGCTGGTAATGTCTGTTCCCAGCAGTGACCTCATGCTGCCCCGGGACTTCTACCCTCAGGGCATCCTGGACTGACTGCCCATGGAATGTGGAATATCACTCAGGGCCTTTCCCATGGGACCATGCACCTGGATGCCCCTCACAGGTGCAGCCAGCGAAGGCTCCTCCCTCCTTCACTGTCTGAGTGTTAGGTTGATGGAAACAGACATCACAGATCAACATTGTTTTCTGTGTGACTCTCATCTTAAGTTAATGTAAACAGAAATCCCTTTCACTGTGACAGCCTCTTCCCTTTGATGATTGCTTAAGATCTTTTTTTTTTTGAGTTGGAGTCTCACTCTGTTGCCCAGACTGGAGTGCAGTGGCCGCTCCCGGCCACCGCAGCCTCGACCTGCGGGGCTCCGGCGATCCTTCCGCCTCAGCCTTCTGAGTAGCCGGAACTACAGGCATGCGCTACCACACCCGGTTGATTTTTGATTTATTGTAGAGATGAGGTCTCGCCAAGTTGCCCAGGCGGGTCTCGAACCCGTGGGCTCAGGCAATCCACTCACCTCAGCCTCCCAAAGGCGTGGAATTACAGGCTGAGCCACCGAGCCCGGCTGTTTAAGGTCTTTAACTGGAATCTTGTGGCTATAGAGAACCTTTAATGTCTTTTTTTTTTTTTTTGAGTCAGAGTCTCACTCTGTTGCCCAGACTGGATTGCAGTGGCTTGCTGCTCAGGGGTACCACAGCCTTGACCTGCTGGGCTCAGGCAATCCTTCCTCCTCAGCCTTCCAAGTAGCTGGAACTATAGGCACGTGCCACCACACCTGGCTAATTTTTCTTGATTTATTGTAGAGATGAGTTCTCACCAAATTGTCCAGATTGGTCTCAAACCCCTAGGCTCAGGCAATCCACTCACCTCAGCCTCCCAAAGGCGCAGGATTACAGGCTGAGCCACCGAGCCTGGCTCTTTTTTTTTGTTTGTTTGTTTTTTTGAGTCAGTCTCACTGTTGCCCAGGCTGGATGCAGTGGCATGTTCATGGCCTGATGGGCTAAGGTGATCCTTCCACCTCAGCCTTCCAAGTAGCTGGAACTACAGGCATGCATTACAACACCTGGCTAACTTTTTGATTTATTGTAGAGACGAGTTTTTGCCATGTTGCTCAGGCTGGTCTCAAGCCCCTGAGCTCAGGCAGTCCTCTTGCCTCAGACTCCTAGAGTGCTGGGATTACAGGTGTGAGCCACTGAGCCTGGCTGAGAATCTTTAATTTCTTACCTGGCAGTGCTTATCTGAGCTGTCAGGTGGGATAAAACAGTCATGTGGAAGCACGCCACATGCATGCAGTCACACTGCTAGCTCAGGTGGAGAGGTGGAGTCGGCAGCGTGGCCATCACTCAGTGGCTCTGTGTGTCTGTGAAATGGCTTCAGTCGTGCACAATACCAGTGACTATCACCTCTGCCTCTATGTCCTTGGTGAGGCCCTGGACCTTTGGCCCCTCTGCAGCAGCACTCTGTAGCTGCTCTTCCTTCCCTCTTTGTTCTTCCTTGAGTGCCCCCTCCTTTCCTTGCCTTCCTTGAAACTCTCATAGAAAGAGCACCCAGGCCTGGCTTGTTTTGACAGGAGCTGACATTGCCAACATCTGTAATGAGGCCGCACTGCATGCTGCACGTGAGGGACACACGTCTGTACACACCTTCAACTTCGAGTACGCAGTGGAGCGTGTCATTGCCGGTAAGAGGCAGCAAAGCACCTTTGTTGCACTCTTGTTCTCAGCAGGGCTTTCCCTCCAGAAACACCCAGGCAGAGGCTTGTTACTCCAGAAATAAAATTAGGGGTGAGGTGGATGGAGCCAGGGCCAGACTTGAACTCCATGTGATTTCAGTAAGGATGGGAGGTAGCATGCTTAAAGTCATTTGTCTTCTTAAAGTCAGGTCTCCACAAGACCACTTATCCTCTGAGTCGATAGTATACCTACGAGCAGACGCAGTCTTCAGGTAGAAGCACATGGGTGTCTCACAACCAGGGCAATGGCGTTCCCGCAGGCCTCCCTGTGCAGGCTGAGGGCTGACCTGCCCAGACCCAGGCGTATTTTCAGGTAGGCGAGGCTTCCACCCCCATGGATTCGGTGGGTATCTGCTGTTCAGCCTTCGGCATCAGCAGAACCCATTCGTCTGCCAATACACCTCACCGTGGTCGTCCACAGAAGCAGAGGTGAGCCTTGGCTGTGGGGGTGGGTGCTGTCCCTCACTCTGTCACTCTATGGATGCTCACTGAGAGTAAGATCTAGAAACTTCTCCAGCCTGCTGTGGCAACACCCAGACGTGGTAAACCTCTTCTCAGGGAATGGGGTTTGTGCCAGTAGTTTCCCGGGCTACAGCTCAGGAAAGCAGCGGGTACCCAAGACAGGGAGGGTGGGCTCCATCAGTACTGGAGCAAAGGTGCTTTCCTGCAGCAGCCTAGGCAGAGAGGACTGCAGTTGCCATGTCTTGCTAGATGGCTTTTGTGCAGGCTATTTACATTACAGGGGAACGGATAAGATTTCAATGAACCCGGCTCAGTGGCTCAGCCTGTAGTCCCACGCCTTTGGGAGGCTGAGGTGAGTGGATTGCCTGAGCCCGCGGGTTCGAGACCCGCCTGGACAGCAAGACCTCATCTCTACAATAAATCAAAAAAATCAGCCGGGCGTGGTAGCACATGCCTATAATTTTGGCTACTTGGAAGGCTGAGGTGGAAGGATTGCCAGAGCCCAGCAGGTCGAGGCTGCGGTGGCCGGGAGCGGCCACTGCACTCCAGTCTGGGCGACAGAGTGAGACTCCCACTCAAAAAAAAAGATTTCGATGATGGTATCCAAGCAGGAAAGCCTGAGTGGGAGTGACAGGCAAGAACATGCCAGCAGGTGTGTGACATGTAGGGAGTACTGTCCTGCCTAGTGTGGGCCACCTGAGTGTCTTAGAGCTCCTGGCTACCCCAGTTCCAGTGCCTGGTGGGTGGCAGCCCTGCCCTCATAGAGATGACTGGATGTGGATGTGGGTGGGCATAGTGTCCACTGTGTCCTTACATGGAATGTTTCTTCCACCTGGCGAATGACCTGATGCCTACTGCCCAGGAGCCCTTCACATGGGACACTTTCTTATACTGGCAGGCGCCCTGTGGATCATGTCTGCCCATGTCCAGGTAACACCTGTCGGACCCACACTCTGATGCTGGGATCTGCCCTTGTGCTCCAGGGATATGGGCAAACCCTGCCTGGGTAGCCCCTGGACCTTCCAGGGAAGGCACACATTCAGTCCACCATGGCAGGAAACATGCTCGGGGATTCATTACAGACCTTGGCAGGGAGGGTGCCACGAGTGGGGATGCAGTCCTCCATCCCCGTCACATGAGGTGGGAGTGAAGAGTCAGGCGGGGAGAGAGAGACAGAGAAGCAGAGAGAGGGGGAAAGAGGGAGAGAGACAGAATGCGAGAAAAAGAGAGAATACAAGCATGATTAGAGTGATGTAGGTGTGTAAAATGGAACTTGAGGATGTTGGGAACATTTGGGACAGCGAGTGTAACCTCACCAGTAATTTGGATGGGGTGGGCAGGGGTGAGTTGAGGGATTATAATGGAAAGCTGAGTTGCCGGGGTGCGAGGCGGTCACTCTCAAAGGGATGGCGGGGAATCATCACGTGATGGAGTTGCAGCTGCCACTGCCAGGCCTCAGCAGGAGACCTGGAACTCAGGAGATCCTGCTCCTCCCATTGGTGACAGCCAGAAGCCAGCCATTCTGTGACCCTCAGCTCTGCAAACCCACTCAGCTAAGAGGGAGGGGAGGCTTCCTAGAAGGGTGGCAGTGGTCCAGGAGGCACACAGGCAGAGAGGACTGTGCCTGATGACATGGGCTGGGGACAGTGCTGGAGAAGGGCTATGAGCCTCAACTCCTGTCCCTGGTGTCTTCCAGGAACTGCCAAAAAGAGCAAGATTCTGTCCAAGGAGGAGCAGAAGGTGGTCGCATTTCACGAGTCGGGCCATGCCCTAGTAGGCTGGCTGCTGGAGCACACTGAGGCCGTCATGAAGGTGGGTCCCAGCAGGCACTGTGTCCATGCCTGGGAAGGGGAAGGCCAGGGAATAGGAGGGCAGGAACTGGGCAGCACAAGGCAGGAGGGGGCGTGTCACATCTTGGCCCTGGTTCCAGTCACCAGCAGACCTCCCAGGTCACCTCATGCCATGGGCTCACTGTCCTTGTCTGCCCTCAGCCTGTCCATGCTAAAGCGACTCCTGATACTGAGAGGAAGTGAGCTGCACATTCAGTTAAAAGCACTACTGTCGGCCAGGCTTGGTGGCTCAGCCTGTAATCCCAGCGCTTTGGGAGGCTGAGGTGAGTGGATCGCCTGAGCCCACGGGTTCGAGACCAGCCCGGGTAACTTGGCAAGACCTTGTTTCTACAATAAAATAAACAATCAGCTGGGCATGGTCACGCACACCTGTAGTTCTGGCTACTTGGAAGGCTGGGATGGAAGGATTGCCAGAGGCCAGCAGGTCGACACTGGGGTGGCCGTGAGTGTGCCACTGCACACTCTAGCCTGGGCAACAGAGTGAGACTCCAATTCAAAAAAAAGAAAACACTACTGCCATGGCCCTCGTGAATGTGATGAAAATACCCTCATATCAGATGGTGACATAACAGCCTCTCAACTCACAGGAGCTCCTCCGTTCCCTGGGGGAGGCCATGGCTGTCTGGATTGGGCACCCTTCAACAGCGGAGCCCCAAGTAGCTGGCAAATGCTGTGGCCAGAGCTCACTTGAGAGGCAGCTGCCCTACATCCCACCCAAGGGCATGCTGCAGAAACCAGCACTTTGCTCAGTGTTCTGTTTCGTACTGTTTTTCGAAGGTGTGGGTAGTAGCAAAGTTGTCTGCTGATGTCTGAGGGCATCCGGCTGGTCATGCTCATGACGGTTGTGACAGTGTGTGTGACCAGGCACCTGCTGGCCTTGGCAGACCTGCCCAGAACCAATGTGAGGCGAATGGACACTCGCAGTGAGTGTCAACATGGGACACTAAAAACTCAGCAGTGAAGATTATATTTCAACACACTATTTCAAAAACTCAAAATGAATGCAGAAAAACCCACAATTTAGCAGAAGTGAAATTTCCTGTTGCTCAGAATTTGCACTTTAATTGATGGACAAAAGTCAGATAAACTAATTGTAATGAAAAAAGTCCCTTTCCTGTGGTTGGCTGTTCTAGAGGGAAGGTTGTGGCGTTCCTATTGGGTTTGTCATGGTGTGGTCATCTCTGTACAGTTGTGGTTTTTGTCCTTTACGGTAACTGAGCTCTGGATTTGCACCGGAGCTTTGGACAGGTCCTCTGGCTGCCATTGCTCACAAGGCACCAGGCCCAGCCACCCTCCTCCTCCCTGACTCAACGGTTTCCTCTTGTCCTGCTAGAGCATGGCCCCTTCCTGCACACCCGCAGTGGGCTATAGGGGAGGCAGAGACCGGGACAGCCTGTCCTTCCCCTTGTCCTGTTGGAGCAGGGCTTCCCCCTGCATACCCAGGTGGGCTGTGGGAGAGGCAGAGACTGGGATAGCCTCTCCCTTTTGTGTGTCCAGGGTTCCCATTGCCTTGAGAGCCAGCAGTGCACTGGTCAGGAGGCCTGTACTTTGAATTTTGTCCTTTGACTCTCTGTGTCCCTGGGACTAGAGGAGGATGGTATACCCTCCTGGTCAAGCAGGTGTTGCTCTGAGTGGTCATCCTCAGTGCTGGAGGTGGTGCAGATGTGCTCTCTGCTCTGAGACCCTCCTATGACACGTTCCTCTCAAATGGCCCATCTTCCTGGAAAGCCGCATCCCGCTTTGCTGACCTGACCCTCTTAACCCACTGCAGGTCTCCATCGCACCTCGGACCAACGCCGCCCTGGGCTTTGCCCAGATGCTCCCCAGAGACCAGCACCTCTTCACCAAGGAGCAACTGTTTGAGCGGATGTGCATGGCTCTGGGGGGACGCGCCTCGGAGGCCCTCTCCTTTAATAAGGTCACTTCCGGTGAGGGACAGCCCTCGGGAGGCTGGAGTTTTCCAAGTGCTTTTATAGCCATATCCCTTCTGTTTCAATACATGTGTTGGGGCTGAATCCGTTGCCAGTGTCGTTTTGAATTTCATTAAGTGTTATTTTAAAAATGAGCTATGGGTAAAGGAGACTTGGAACTCAGCAAGACTTCTTTTTTATTCTTAATCCATTTAGCCGTTTTACTTATTATTTCAGTAACTTTGGGGGATACAAGTATTAGTAAGACTTTTTGAATCACTTAATTGGGCTTTTACATTTGTGCTATGAAGAAGCTGAATAAATTAGGTAGTGATTGGCAGTGTCCACGCAAAACTGAGTAAAATAGAAGTGACTTCACTGCTCTTAAATGGTGACTTCACTGGGAAGTCCCATCTCAGGCATCAGGGTTCGAGGCTGATGCGTTTCCCTCACACAGATTCGGGCTTGGCTCCACACCTGCCACAATGGGAGCCTCGATATGTCGCAACTCTTCAGAGAACAGGGGGAAGGTACAGATAGCCTGGCTGTGCCCGCCTGCGGGCTCTGACGGGCGCCTGTGTGCCTGCTGTGCTGAGGGTAGCTCCCTGTCGACCCCGCACTACAGGGGCGCAGGACGACCTGCGGAAGGTCACCCATATTGCCTACTCCATGGTGAAGCAGTTCGGGATGGCTCCTGGCATCGGGCCCATCTCCTTCCCTGAGACACAGGAGGGCCTGGTGGGCATCGGGCGGCGCCCCTTCAGCCAGGGCCTCCAGCAGATGATGGATCACGTGAGACCCTACCACGGGGTTGGGGGGAGGGGACGGGTTGCCAGCTCCCTCAGGAAAGGCCCAGCCATCTGCTGAACCCCAGGCAGGCCTTGGAGCCTGTCTGGCATGGGGCAGGAGTTCTGCTGTCTCTGCAACCGTGTGCCTTTCTCTACCTAGTGTGGGAGCCAGGCTATGGCAGTGACCCATGGCCTTCTCGTGAAAGAGCTGTCTCCTTTGTCCCCAGGAGGCTAAATTGCTGGTGGCCAAGGCCTACAGACACACAGAGAAGGTGCTGCAGGACAACCTCGACAAGCTACAGATGGTAAGTGCCAGCAGGTCGTGGCTACCCTTCCGTGTGTGCTTCTGGTGTGGCTCAGCTGAAATCAGGGTTTCATGCTCCTGTCATGCACATGGCAAGCCAATATTCCTTCGGGCAGGAAGCTCGTCAGCACCCACGGCCTGGCACCTGGTACCCAGCATCTGGCACTTGACACCAGTGGCTGCCAGCATTGTGTTGAGTTTAATTTTTTTCCACCTCTTAAACTTTTATTCCTGAAAAAAATTTTTTTCTCCCCCCCAAAAAAATTTTAAAAGTAAAGTTTTATTATGGATTCATCTTAGATTGACAGAAAAGTTTTAGTTGTTGTACAGAGATTTCCCTTGAACCTCCATCCTTCGCAGGTTGACATCTTCATCAGTGGAAGCATGCTCTTCCCCACCGGATGAACTGCCTTGGCCGTCATTGTGAACTGGGGCCCACACTTCACTCATGTTTCCACTCTTTCTGTCCCAGGAGCCCACATGACATTCAGTCACCACATCTCCTTGGGCTTGTCTAGACTCTGATGGCTTCTCAGACTGTCCTTGTTTTTGGTGACCTCAACAGTTTTGAGAAAGACTGGCTTAGGGTTTTGTAGAACATCCTTCAGTTGGGATTGGAAATTTGGGACTGTCTGGTGTTATTCTCTTAGTGAAACTAGGTGGGCAGCCCTGAGGCGGAATTCCTTGTGTCCCTGTGTTCTGGTGACCACTGCCTGGAACTCAGTGGGGGGTGGCTCTGGTGCTGTGGTGGATGGGCAGGGGACAGCAGGTGGGAGCTATTTGTTCATCTCTCTCCTGTCTCTCGAAGCAAGGTAACTGCCCTGCCAGTCTAGGCTTGGTGTGGGGACCAGGGTCGACCCCAGACCAGCAGCACCGGCCTCCCCAGGAGGTGAGCAGTGCAGTCTTAGGCAGAGCCGGCGCCTGTGTGTCGACGAGGCCTCCCTGATCATGGACACGCCCTTGCTGACAGGCCAGCTCTACAGGACGTGGGCTCACGGCAGGGTAGCGGGGGGTGGGGCATGGCAAGGGGGTGGGGCAGGCCGGGCATCTCCCTGGCGGTAGTGATGTGTCTGCCTTCTGCTTGAACTGTGAGCTGCTCACTCAGTCAGTGGGTTTCAGCACTTAGTAAAGTACCAGAGCAGCCCAGGGGGGAAATGTTTGTCTTTTGCAGCCACGATGAATCGCCCCAGTTTCAGGAGTTACAATTTTTTTTCTTTCTTTTTTTTTCTTTTTTTATTCTTATTTTTATTTTTTCAAGTTGGAGTCTCACTCTGTCGCCCAGACTGGAGTGCAGTGGCCACTCCCGGCCACCGCAGCCTCGACCTGCTGGGCTCCGGGGACCCTTCCACCTCAGCCTTCCAAGTTGCTGGAATTACAGGCATGCGCTACCACGCCCGGCTGATTTTTTGATTTTTTTGTAGAGATGAGGTCTCGCTGCCCAGGCGGGTCTCGAACCCGCAGGCTCAGGCAATCCACTCACCTCAGCCACCCAAAGGCGCGGGATTACAGGCTGAGCCACCGAGCCCGGCTTCTTTCTTTTTTTAGAGATGAGGTTTTGCCAAGTTGTCCAGGTTGGCCATGAACCTGCAGGCTCAGGCAGTCCTCTCGCCTCCACCTCCCAAAGTGCTGGGATTACAGATGTGAGCCACTGCACCCATCCAAGGCGTTACCATTTTCTTCAGAAAATGTAGAAGAGGGCCAGGCGCAGTGGCTCACACCTATAATCCCAGCACTTTGGGAGGCCAAGATGAGAGGATTACTTGAGGCCAGGAGTTCGAGACCAGCCTGGACAACATAGCGAGAGGACTCTATACCAACAACAACAAAAAAATTAGCGGTTCAATGGTGCATGCCTGTAGCCCCAGCTACCTGGGAGCCTGAGGTGGGAGGATGGCTTGAGCTCAGGAGTTTGAAACTGCAGTGAGCTATGATCACACCACTGTACTCTAGCCTAGGGAACAGAGCAAGACCCTGACTTTAAAAGGAGCAACAGAAATTCCCTTCCCCAAATCATGAGGTCCCCCAGCTCACACACCCTCTCCCCAGTGTCCTGCTCCCAAATTTCCATTCAGGGGAGTTCAGCACTCCCACAGGCACACAACACCCTGTTTGGTGAAGGAAATTGCAGTTGCTAGAAATAAGCAGAGATTTTGAAGGGAGGTAGAAAATGAATGAAACTGGCAGCTGGAAAATCATTTCCAAGGCTGAGATGGTGTGATGATTGCTTGCCCAAGCTGCCATTGCACTTCCCTGGGAAAGTTGCCTGTCCAAGGTGCCCTCTCACAGGCAGACCCTCGTGCCTGCTGCGTCCCTGGGACATAGAGATGCTCTGTGAGCGAGGCCCCAGCTCAGATGCCCTGCATCTTTGTCCTGAGGACTCACACACTGCCACGTCTGTTCTCTCTAGCTGGCGAACGCCCTTCTGGAAAAGGAAGTGATAAACTACGAGGACATTGAGGCCCTCATTGGCCCACCGCCCCATGGACCTAAGAAGATGATTGCACCGCAGAGGTGGCTGGATGCCCAGAGGGAGAAGCAGGACTCTGGGGAGGAGGAGGCCACTCAGCTTTGAGGGGAGGAGCTGCCTTGGCCCAAGTAGCCAGGATTCACTGGCTGCACGTGCAGGTGGTCTGGACGTGCACTCATTACTCAGTGGCCCCTGAGCTTCTGGCTGCAGCTCGACCTCCTGTCAGCAGGCCCCGTGCAGGGGCTCTGAGAGCTGTGTCCTGAGTTCCCTCTACATGATGAGTAAATGTCCTTGCAGAAATGCCTGTTGGATCTTTGCATGTGTCTGTTGTTTTCCCCTATGGGGAAGGTCATCAGTGCTTGTGGTGGGTGTGTGTGAACACGGCCCAGAGTTACAGACACTGTTTCCAGTGGGGCCGACCTATCAGAGGCAGCTCAGTGGGAGACTGAACAGAGCCTTGTTCATGCCAGCTTGTGCAGACCCAGCCCCGTTCCTGTGGCTCCCTCAGAATGCTAAGATCCCAGATGAAAGGACCCTCTGAGCTACTGTCCTGTCTTCAGGGGCTCTGTCATGGTGCTCACTCATCAGTGGGGCCAGTTGGGACCAGGCTCTAGAGGATTCAACACTGCCACCTACTGTTGTGTGGATCAGTGCGAGTTGAGACGCTCCTTGCTGGGCTAGTCCTGCAGCACTGGGACACCCTCATTTTTACTGCCCTAAGAAGTGTTGTGATACCTTGCTAATAAATTCTGTGGATGGAAAATATTCATTTTTACTGTCTGACCAGAGGAGCTGATAGGCTTGTCCTGATCACAGGAGCATGTGTTTTCAGTCTGCAATTTGAGCCATGCAGTGACCAAGTGAAAAACTCCATTTGTAGGAATCCAGGGCCTGGACCTTGTAGGGATAAAGGACCTAGGACACCCAACAGTGGGCTTAGTCCCCATGTCCTGGGGCACATGACACACATTCCTGGCTCATGCTCCCTGCTCTCCTTGGATGACAGTCACTTCTTGACAGAGTGGATTGAGGAAACACTTGCTGTCTGTAGGCAAGCAGGTGCAGTCACACACCTGAGGGTGGGTAGCTCTGAGGATCACTTTGACCTTTGCCCCAGTTCTTCAAATTCATTACTAAAGATCAGCACATAGTTGGAGGTTTTGGGCTGGTGGTGTTACTCTAGGGTGGTGTCCCCTGTAATTGTCCTAAAGTGCATATGGCCAAGCTCCTCCCCTTTGTACCTTGCCCACTAAACCAGCCCATTTCTGTTTATCCTTTGCAACAGCATTTGCTGAGTGCAGAAGATGCTTAGCTAGTGTGATTAGGAGCAGTTGAAATGGTACCTCACCAGAGCCAGGTGAGGTGCAGTCTAGTCTCCCAGAGCCTGCTGGTGTAAGCATCCTGGCAGCCATCTGGGAGGGAAGGTCATATGGATCCTGCTGTAATTCATAGAAGCCTGGTTGGTCATTGGTGATCTGCAAGATACTTCACTCATATTCAAAAAGATAGCAGGATTTATACCAACTCTTCTGATCTTGTGCTAAAACATACTGCTCCTCTACCTTCTTCAGGGTCTTAGAAGTGAAGGAACTTCAACAGCAGCACATGGCCTCCTGGAGCAGCTGGACTGCACTGGGCAACCTATGTGGTTGACCCTGGGACATAGCCCCACCCAGCAGAGTCAACAAGGCAAGGCCTGATTGTATCTTCTGTTGTCACCTTCACCCAGTGAAGTTAGGTCTCCTTTTGGAGACAGACGTGTTTTTTAAATAGATGTATAGCTGGGCTCAGTGGCTCAGCCTGTAATCCCGCACCTTTGGGAGGCTGAGGTGAGTGGATTGCCTGAGCCCGCAGGTTCGAGACCCGCCTGGGCAGCGAGACCTCATCTCTACAATAAATCAAAAAAGTCAGCCAGGCGTGGTAGCACATGCTTGTAATTCCAGCTACTTGGAAGGCTGAGGCGGAAGGATTGCCGGAGCCCAGTAGGTCGAGGCTGCGGTGGCCGGGAGCAGCCACTGCACTCCAGTCTGGGCGACAGAGTGAGACTCCAACTCAAAAAAAAAAAAAATAGATGTGTATATTTAACAGTCACAGAAGCCAGGTGTGGTGGCTCACACCTGTAATCCCAGTACTTTTGGAGGCCAATGCGAGAGGATTGCCTGAGTCCAGGGGTTGGAGACCAGCCTGGGCAACTTGACAAGATCTCGTGTCTACAATTAAAAAAAAAAAATTAGCCAGGGGTGGTGGCACACAACTGTGTTTCCAGCTACTTGGAAGGCTGAGGTGGAAGGATCGCCTGAGCCCAGCAGGTGGAGGCTGCAGTGGCCTTGAGTGTGCCATTGCACTCCAGCCTGGGTAAGAGTGAGACTCTGACTCAAAAAAAAAAAAAAATTGCTGGGCTCGGTGGCTCAGCCTGTAATCCCATGCCTTTGGGAGGCTGAGGTGAGTGGATTGCCTGAGACCACGGGTGCGAGACCCATCTGGGCAGCGAGACCTCATCTCTACAATAAATCAAAAAAAAATCAGCCGGGCGTGGTAGCACATACCTGTAATTCCGGCTACTCGGAAGGCTGAGGTGGAAGGATCTCCGGAGCCCAGCAGGTTGAGGCTGCGGTGGCCGGGAGCAGCCACTGCACTCCAGTCTGGGCAACAGAGTGAGACTCCAACTCAAAAAAAAACAACACAGAAAGCCCCAAAAGACCATTAAAGAATATGATAAGAAAAAAACTAACTTTAAATATTATTTTATTATAGAGATGTGAGGTACAACTCAGGATTAGGTATATGTAATCTATGTGTATGTGAAGTGTGGGCTCCAGCTTGTCCTCATTTCCCCTGGTTAGGACCACGTATCTTTTGTGTTATTACATGCTCCTTCCTCGCTGAAAAGAAAAAAATTAACTCATACTTTAAAAATTGTAATACAGCCGGGCTCGGTGGCTCAGCCTGTAATCCAGCACCTTTGGGAGGCTGAGGTGAGTGGATTGCCTGAGCCCGCGGGTTCGAGACCCGCCTGGGCAGCAAGACTTCATCTCTACAATAAATCAAAAAATCAGCTGGGCGTGGTAGCACATGCCTGTAATTCCGGCTGCTCGGAAGGCTGAGGCGGAAGGATCGCCGGAGCCCAGCAGGTCGAGGCTGTGGTGGCCGGGAGCAGCCACTGCACTCCAGTGTGGGTGACAGAGTGAGACTCCAACTCAAAAAAAAAAACACAGAAAGCCCCAAAAGACCATTAAAGAATATGATAAGAAAAAAACTAACTTTAAATATTATTTTATTATAGAGATGTGAGGTACAACTCAGGATTAGGTATATGTAATCTATGTGTATGTGAAGTGTGGGCTCCAGCTTGTCCTCATTTCCCCTGGTTAGGACCACGTATCTTTTGTGTTATTACATGCTCCTTCCTCGCTGAAAAGAAAAAAATTAACTCATACTTTAAAAATTGTAATACAACCGGGCTCGGTGGCTCAGCCTGTAATCCCGCGCCTTTGGGAGGCTGAGGTGAGTGGATTGCCTGAGGCCGCGGGTTCGAGACCCGCCTGGGCAGCAAGACCTCATCTCTACAATAAATCAAAAAATCAGCTGGGCGTGGTAGCGCATGCCTGTAATTCCGGCTACTCGGAAGGCTGAGGCGGAAGGATCGCCGGAGCCCAGCAGGTCGAGGCTGCGGTGGCCGGGAGTGGCCACTGCACTCCAGTGTGGGCGACAGAATGAGACTCCAACTCAAAAAAAAATTGTAATATGACTTGTTCTCATCCACTCTGATCTATACATATAGACACTTTTGATTTAGTGAATGGTGTACTTTCAGGTTTCCACTGATATTAGCATTTCTCATATTACAGACATTTTCAGACTTGGCCTAAGTCTGACCTGTGTGTAGGTTATGAGTTGGGAAAGTTTCTCTTGTCTGTCATTCAGGTACTGCTTTTCCTAATTCACCACTTGATACGTAGATGACAAACTGAGCATTCTGAGTCTTGCAAAGTGTTTTAAGGGCATAATTTGTTTTCTTTCTTTCTGATTTGTTTGAAGACCCGGAGATCTGGAAGGTGCTCTCAGGAAGCACCAGCAAGGAGTGGAGGAGAGAGGGTGGGAAGGGGGAGGCCACTGCAGTGCAGGTTCAGAATGAGCAGGTTACTGCTATGGGTAATTGGGGTGCAGACCTGCAAGAGAACTCTAGGAGCCTATGCAAAACACACTCTTGCCCCTCCAGGGGTGGGAATCCCTGGCATTCCCTAGTTGGGTGCTGCTTTAAGGGACATTAACTAGCCCTTCCAGTGGCCCTTGCAGACCCAAGCCCGGCACAGAAGCTCCTAAGCAGAGTTGTCTGTGGAGTTCTGTGCCCTAGCTACAGATTTGGAAAATCCCCTGCACCAGCCAGGACTTTGTATCAGGACTCCTGTACAATCATTCACTTCCTTCATCTTTCTCAACGGGAAAGCTGAGCGTCATTTCAGCAGAATTTGCTATTAGATCTCTTGGCTCCCTATCTTGCACACTTTTCAAAGGAAGTAAAATACGGAGTGTTCAAGCATGGCACAGTTGGATTCTTTATTGTTTTAGTCAGTCATTACAACTTTACTTCCTTCCAGTTAACCGGATTCTGAGAGTAGTGTTTCCAGTTTCAAACCTCCAACCCCACCCCGCTCCCTCAGTGTCCTAGGGCAATTTATTTTTAAACAGAGAAGGGGTCGTGGCCTGTTCTCCAGGTGGAGGTGCAGTGGCACAATCATAGCTCACTGTAGCTTTCAACTCCTGGGTTAAGGGCTTCTGCCTCAGCCTTCAGCCTGCAGCTGGGACTACAGGTGCTGGGCTCCATCCTGAGCTTCCTAAGACCTAAGGGTGTTGCGGTAAGGCAGAGAGCTATCAGCAGCCTATTCAATGCAGGACACAGGTCTCCAAAGTTCTCATTTTGTGTCACACAGTGCTTAAAATACGGATTAAGTCTTACCAGGGGAAGAAAGAGGGTTATTGTGATGGACAGATTTTCAGATAGCAATGAGAGTGTTAGTGATTTCCCAGACTGTGGAGCACAGGACATGGTTGCATGTTTGGCTACGTAATGTTTATTCTAATTAACTTATTCAAATCAGGGTCTCTGTCTCCCAGGTTAGAGTGCAGTGATGCAGTCACAGCTCACTGTGGCCTCTACCTCCTGGGTTCATGTGATCCTCCTGCCTCACCCTGAGTAGCTAGGACTACAGGTGCATGCACCACCATGCCCTGCTAATTTTTTGATTATTTTTGTAGAGAGGGGCTTGGTTATGTTCCCCAGGCTGGTCTTGAACTCCTGGTCTCAAGCAGTCCTCCAGCCTCGGCCTCCCAAAGTGTTGGGATTACAAGCATGAGCCACCGTGCCTGGCTACTTAAAAACATTTATTTTTAAAATATTTTTTAAAGCAGGATTTATTGAGAGGACAGAAAAGCTCCCACAGTGGGAAGGGACCTGAGGGAATTGCCAAAAGTTTAAAAAAATACTTGTCTCTGTGTGAAGGGGTGGCAATAGATATAACCATTAAGAGTGTTTGACATTTTCTTTTTTTTTTTTTTTTTTGAGTCGGAGTCTCACTGTTGCCCAAGCTGGAGTGCAGTGGCATGTTCACGGCCACTTGCAGCCTCAATCTGCTGGGCTCAGGCGATCCTTCCACCTCAGTCTTCCAAGTAGCTGGAATCACAGGCCTGCAGCACCACGCCCTGCTAATTTTTTTTATTTATTCTAGAGACAAGGTTTTGCCAAGTTGCCCAGGCTGGTCTAGA